ATCTTGAAGGAGTTCTCTAACCTTTTTCTGTTTTGTCTTAATTCATCCCTGTTACTCCCTAGTAATCACTGTCTGTTCAGTATTAACGCTTTAGTTAAATGTTTCATATACAATTTCCTACTAAATTATCCACTGATACGCTCGTGTGTATCACCAGCCTCTCAGTTAAAGTGGAATGTCTACTCTTTTCTTGTGTGACCCGAGCGCCACCAAGGGGACAAGAAAGGTATAACACGCAAGTGTTTAAAACTCGGCTTACACTGACAAGGATCGCTAAGTAGGCCTACCTATCACCATGTAATTGCATAAACGAAATTTTGCTGTCACGCTTACATCTAAATTGTCTCTTGAGTTAAAACCAGTAACCAGCAAGTATACTGAGGACAGGTAATTAAGATTTGTTACGTTTTATATAACCATTATAACCTTTTTCCATAGTGTTTCGCCTCGTTTTAATTGTCTTTATCCGAATGTTTAGAACTGAGTATTTTTCCAAATGTCGATATTGTGGAGAGAGAGATTAAAGGGAAATACGCGCAACTATATTTCTTTATCCCAAAAAGTTAACACCTTAGGGACTTCCTTTACTTTTTGAAATTCCGATTTTTTTCATTTCGTACTTAAATTTCCTTCAGACGAGCTGAGAAAGCTACGACCCTGAATTCCAATTTCCTTAGCGGGAGATTTGATTTTTCTGATTTTTGTTTGGAGCTGCCTGTTTAATCTCAGCAACATTAAATAGCCTATATTCCCAAGGCCTCGCGAACCTACGGCGAATGTGTGAGTGATTTGATTTTGTTGTTGCAACCTCATCCGATCGTTTTGAACAACTTTGGACCAGAAACTCAGAAGCCTTCATTTATGGCCTTGAATAAATGAAACCACGGCTCTGACGACAGAACCCTGAGTGGGCTCCGCTATAGCGACACCAAACGAACTGAGATCAGAGTAAAAGCCTTGGCTGACGGCCCGTTGCTGCAAGCGCTTCCCACAGAGGACTCCACCGGTTTCGAACTCAACTCGAAAACGCCACTGGGGTCAAGCCAGAACCAACTCCACGAGCCAACCGGCAGTCGAGCCTTGCTACGGGACCTGCGGCAACGGTAGGGCAAAACAAACCACACTCTGTGACTCGTTGGTGTTCTCTAGTTGGCTCCATCCACAGTTAATAAACCCCTAGATTAGTCAGCTAAATCTGCAACCTAATTTCGGTCATACTCGTAGAATTCTCTCCCTCTACAATATAAACTGAAATACAATCGAACCTTACATAGGCCAACCTGTTCATTACCTCCTGGTTGTCATATTAACTGTTGTCCCTGTAATATTACCACATTTACCCACTATTGTACTCTCTTTTGTTAGTTTAATAAATTCACCTTGAGCACAGTGATGTTGTGTGTGTGTTATTAAGAATCTAGAGTCCCTATACATAGAACTTATCCTCAGATTTGAGATTGACTGATTGATTAGAGTTTACGATTTCAGAATAACTGAACCAGTAACAACTAAGGAATTACCAGAAATTCGTGTAATTCTCAGGCTATACTCAAGGACCTAAAGCCTTGGGCGGACAAGCAAATCTTTAGGTGGTGCTCCTAATTTAGAGGCATAAATTAATATTCCCGGAAATATTAGTTTTCATAACTGTATTAAAATTTTATTAAAAAAGTTATCGCTTAAACCTTATGGTTTCATTTCAAATCCGATCGACTGGACTACACAGGAAACAAAGCAGAAAATACTTGTGGCCTGCACTCGTGGACGCATTTTCATCTCGTGGACGCAAAGCTTTGATTAGCTCAAAGCAGCTGTCCACTGCCACCGATCAAGTACACCTAAGTGTATCTAAAAAGTGTCATTAAGATCATCAGAGTATAGCCACTTGAGATGCATCATCTGCAGATGCACATTAAGCTCCTAACAAGATATTTCATTTACAAACAAATCTTTATAGAGACAGAGTGCATGAGCAAGAACTGTAAAAAAAACACAACTACAATGGTATAAAACACACAAAACATAACAATAACAGTCAGGGCTCATATTTTTAGCAGCAAACTGAGTACATTCCTGACAGTCTTCATACATTTTCATGTTTTTTCTGGGTCCACTGGGTTACACAGTGTGGGTGAAGGGATTCATCATAACCACATAAACAAAACTCCCCCAAGCTTATTGTGATGGTTTGAGTGGTGGGCCTATAATATGACAAACACCCCCTCAATCACAATTTAATCTAATCCTTTCCCTTTCTCTCTCTGCTTTTCTACAAAAAAGCTAACATTACTTTGGTTAAAGAAAAGACACATCTATTGTGCCTGGTACATAAAAACTAGCAGACCAGCTTATGCAGCTAAGATTTATAGTCACGGTCTTGCAGTTTGCAAACCACTGCAGTGGGCCATAATTTCAACAACCCTTTCATGACCTTGTTCGGGTTTCCCTTTTAAGGGAGGCATCCTTCATACTGAGCATATGTTTATGTTGGGAATAACTTGCTCTGTTGCCTTTTCTTCAGGACTGCACGTTCCCCCTGAGCTCAGACAATAAAGTCACATAGCAAACGCAAGGGAAAAAACACCTCTTCCTCTCTTTTCTTGTTTTTCTTTTTCTTTTTTTTACAAAATTAATCTAGCTTTGTTGTATTTCATCTTTCAATGTCTGTGCTCTTTCTATAATTACGCTTCTTTGTTGATTGGAACAGCCATGCTTTCATGCTACTTGAAAGGGTAATACAAGGTTTTTCACATACTAAGATCTCAAAAACACTGGCCTGACACAATGTCCTTCCAATATTGTGCATCAATGATAGATAGCAAAATGAGATGCAATATGTTTGGTGTCTATAGAAACAGACAGCAAATAATAAGCCAATTAGAGATGGGGCGGGGGGGCAGCCTTAAATGTAAGATGTGAGTAAAAATTGAGTGGTACATTGACCAGCTCACGGACAGTTCATAAGAAGTTGGATCCCCTGTTGTGCACAAGGGTGGCACCATTCGTAACCTCTTGGAAGATTCTACTCGAAACTCAGATCAAGTTCATAACTGCAATAAAATAACATTAGCATTTTAGGAAATATGCTTATTTGAAAGATCCAACTACAAGCACACATGAAGCTCATTAAATAACACATTAAGCATTGTCTCTTCTTTACCATACATAAATGAGTGGTATCAACTGTCTCATCTAACTAAAGGCAAGAAAGTGAATAAGCGTCTTTTCCAAAATATCAGCTATTCTTTTGATTTTTGAACTAAATAAAATAGAATATAACCACAAGAAACATCTGATTATTTGTTTTTGCAGTCACTCCCCATGCTATTTAATTAAAAACATTAAGGACATCTTTGTTTCTCTGTCCCTTCACAGTCAGCAAAGATATTTCACTGCTGAGTATGGATACTTGTGCTGCAGATAGCGTAAGGATGATGAGGCACATCTGTTCTCATACTACACATGATATCTTATCCCCTGGTGATTTCTTGACGTTGATAGGCACCTTCAACACCAGGGGTCTCACAGAATGCATTCGGAGCGATGCAAAGCTCTGCTCCGTGACAGCTGTGATAAGGATAAATCTTTTATGTTTTCTAGGGGTGTGTGGTGGTGTGCAGTGAACGTGCCTTTTTTGGCAAACAGAAGGGAAGGGGATTGAAGGGAAATCAAAATTAAGGGAGGGAAGCGGATGAAAGATCGAGGCAGGAAGAGTGACGGAAAAATAAGATACACAAAATTGAGAGAGAGTGAATGACAGAGGAGAATGAAAAACATGTGACTACAAAAGTGGAAAGACGGCCTCTTATCTTTTTCCCACTGAGCCTAATTTTCTGCACATTTTTATATCACATGAGGGAATGTTGGACACCAGAAACGCTCAACACACCCCTGGCTATTGACTGACTTAATGAAAATAAGAACATGTTATAATAATAATTGATTAGTAGCTCTACTATCAGAGTCTAGGCGGATAAGCACTTTGAGTGGATAATTGGTGGGACAAGTATTCCACTTATATGAACTCCCTCTGGGACTGTGAAAAGGCTAGTAGTCCAACAATGTTCTCAGGAGTGTCTATTTCTGATCAGTCTGACATCTTGAAGACATTTACCAGAATCTTCAGCAGTAAAGTGGACAGTAATATCAATCTGATTAATCAGGTTGATTAAGCAATTAGTCAACTGACAGAAAAAAATGTTTGCAATAAACTTCAGATTAACCAACAATGGGAACACTTGTTAGTTATAGCTCTATGTTTTACAAACCTGGACATATGGATATACACCATTAAAAGACAAATTGTTTTAGTTGCATGGTAGTTGTGTGAAGAAAGCTGTGGCTGGAAAGACAACAGTGTAGTGTGGCTTATATTGTTGTAGATACAGTAAACATGAGATATATTTTTATATGACATATGGCCCCTGGAACTAACAAAAGATGGTCACTCAAAGAGAATCAAACCACTAGCAGTTTTTCAGTTTGCTCCAGACCACATATTGTGATCTCTCTATTTTTTTTTCCCTACACTGTTTGGCTGTGTGTAGCATTTCCGCCAGACGCTGAGAAATCTTAATGTTTTTGTTTTTCTAGCTTCTGACTCCAGCTCTCTCCCTAAATACTACTGAGTACATGGACATGTGTCTCCATTGCTCTTTTTTGTTTTTCTTTTGGTTGTCCCAGTCCATACAGATGCAGTAGTAAAATAGTTTGTTGTAGTCTGCTTGACTTGATTCTGCTTGAATCTGTAGCACAGCTGGCAAACTCTGAAAGTGTCTGGAACTCGTTTTTAGTAACACCTCCTTAGCAGAGTTGTGGCATTATTAAGAAACTTGTAAACAAAAGCAGAATCCTTTTATTGAGTTTCTTTAGTGCAAAAAAACACTTTTGAAACACTTGTTTAAAATGGTCATATAGAAGCTCAGATCATTCCTGAGGCTATAACTGTTAGAAATTCAACTTCAAGACAGGATAAAAAGGGGAAATAATGTAACACTAACCTCTGGCATCAAAGAACTCCTCATCTGAGCTCTCAACTGATTCTTGTGCGATATTCTGCAGACACCAATGAGTGGCGCTGTGCTTTCGTGATGATCCTGTGGGTCAGAAAAAGAAAATAATTCATGACATTAATCTTTTAAAAAGCTTTTTGCCTTTTGGTTGCTAGCCCTAAAAATTCAGAGTAAAAAACAAAGCGTGAATACCCAGGTGGGGAGAGATGGCCTTTCGAGTATCACAGCAGGTGAAAAGCCACAAAAGGACTTTCCTTTGAGTAGTGTCACAGCACTCAAGTGTCTCAACAAGGAAGCAAGACAGTGTTTTTTATGACCTTCTGATACAAGAGCAGGAATGAAAAGGATTTAGAGCACTTTCCACTTGTAACTAGGAAGTACCTAGGAAACTAGGGGGTGGCAATATGGCCAAAATCTTTGAAACACAGTAGCAGTGTATATCACGATACAGTTAATTGTCCTGTAAACAATAAGGAAACAGTTTAACAAACCAGACTTCATCTGATTGTCGTCTTCTTTTATTTGGAATGACAGTACAACCTTGGAAAAACGTAATATTACTGTTCCTCAGCAGCTGGTTAACTAATATTTAAAACTTATTATTTCTATACTAACCATGTTAGCACTTTAGACCCTTCTAATATGGAGGTAAAAGCATCTATATTATTTTACATTACTATCAGGAAACCAAGAAGAATCTTTAAAGACATCCTCCCCCTGTATTTAGGGCTGATGGGCTGTTAATATGTCATTCATAAAAAATTACACTTTCTGCTCAAAAGGTCTTTGTCCACAATGTACAAAAGAAAAATTGCAACAGCTTTCTAAGCACTCTCATTTACAGAAGTTATCTGATCATACACATATTCCTGTCAACGTGCAGATCTGGCTTACAGAAACCCTGCACCTGTACAGCTGTCACTTGTCATCACTTCCTGTTATCATATTAAGCCACACTAGCCACTTACGTCAACACATTAGCTGGCTGCAATGACTGCATAACTAGCTTGTTGGCTAGCCTGTTGAAAACAGTTTCAGTATACAGTAGCATAACAATAATGCTACTTTAGGTTATAAGGAGGACTAAATGTGAATAAACAACTCAGTAACCTTGCCTCTTTGTCAAGGAAAAAGTGACATCCAGGACATAAATTGTCAACATGCCTAGCAGAGATAAGCTGAAGCTGTCTCTTCAACCTTCGACTTAGTGGAAACTCCTCGCGTCAGCAAACTATTCTCCAGGGGATGCAGGATCCCTGAACCACTACAGAGCCTTTAGCCCTGTCATCTTGGCCTATACTGGACGATGATTGAGGAGGCTCAGGTGAGACTCGTGAGTGCTGACTGTGTATCAACATACAAACAGCCGCCCCATATATACCATCTATGAGTAGTAATTTGTGTTTCCTAAACTACCAGTGGAGGAGCTCAACATATACACACACAAGACAATTTCCATCCATCCATCGTCAAACGCTTATCCCGCGTACAGGTTCGCGGGGACAAGACAATTTAGCCAAATTAAACAATTCTCTGCTCACAGTGAAATAAGCACTTAAAACACACTCTCTTTGAAAATGGAAATATGTCAAATTCACAAAATTGAAATAGAAGCATCTGAAATCCTCAGCAAATTCCAGAAAATAGGTAAATAACACGTCGTAAGAACCACATGTCATTCCGTTTTGCTGAAAGTGTGTCAGCAGTATAGCTGGCATGCCTGCTTGTGGTACTTTTCCCAAAAACCCTTGATGTTTCATACATTTGGTACACACCGAGTGTTACAAACTGCAAGTGCTCTGCCCTCCACACCACAAGGAGACACCAACTGGTGGTTCAGTACCTGTGAGTACCTCCCACATTATAAACAGAGGGTTGGGCGGGACCGGACTTCCTTTTCTTTGTCTCCAAACATTTTGCCTTTGCGGAAGAACCATGGCAATCATCACAAGATCTGACATGAAAAGACTGAAACCATGCTCCGAATAAATAAAGAGACAATTAATGGCAATCCTTGTTTTCTGGTGGTTTGTGGCTCCAGTTAGAACCTTATATCCATAATACCGAGCATGAAATACACAATGAGATGGAGGAAAATCTACAGCACGCTGTCACGATCGGTGGTGTGGAGGCAGGTTGGAGGACCCAAACGCAGGACGCAAGGCAGGAAGAGGTACAGTACAAAGGGGTTTTAATGAACGAACCAAAAGCGAGCACACTTACAGGTGAGTGGCTGAATACAGAGTCCAAAAACAAAGGTGGTCTAAACAGAGATCCAAAGGGAGCAGCGTAACACGACCGGGAGACACGACAAACAGGCAGACAACAGGAGACCTCACAGCAACTCCAGGAGACAGCATACAATGACCCGACCAAGACAAGACAGAGACACCAGGCATATATACACACACACACAGGGACTAACGAACACACGCATCCCTGAGTGGTGTCTGGTCAGTCCTTCACTAAATGGGATTGTATTGATTATGTACCTGCACATTTAGTATTGATTAATTTGAGCTGTGCAAGTTTTCACAGCACATAAACAATTTAATGATGGGTGGCAGATTTATAACTCAAAATTACTTTAATTTTCAAAAGGTCCTTGACTGGGGTGGCATGGTGGTGCAGTGGTTAGCACTGTCATGCTAGAAGGTCGTGGGCTCCGGCTTCCTCCCACCATCCAAAAACATGCGGACTAAGTTGATCGGTGACCCTAAATTGTCCATGAGTGGTTGTTCATCTATGTGTGGCCCTGCGATGGACTGGCGACCTGTCCCAGCTGACATCAGCTGGGATTGGCTCCACAACACAAGGCAGGGTGCCCCCCTGGCAGCCCCCCTGCGACCCTGTAAGCAGGATGAATGGATGGGTCCTTGACTTCAGAGACATGCTCATTTCAAATCAGTGACTGCTGATATTGCTGGCTTGAATGATGGGTATCACTGACAGATTTTATCAGCTGTTGCTTGCTTGCTAATAAAGATAACGTTAGCAGAGTTGACGCCTTCTACTGCTGACTTGTCAACATTTAATGCTGACTCAATTTAAAACAAGAACTCTGTAAAAGGGTCTTTACTTTACGGCATACATCATGTGAGTTATGCCTTGCTAAAAGACTAAAGCTAAACGGCATGTCCAAAAAAAGTCAGTGTCCTGTTGATGGTCTATGTAGAAGACATGGAAGTAAAGAAACAGCATTGTTCTTGTATTGTAGTATAAAGCAAAGGCTGTTATTTAATTCTAGCTTAGCTTGAATACTAGAAGCAAGAGGTGAAGGTGATGTTTGTTTGTATTTTCAAACAACTTGGTTCACTTTTAACAATGTAGAGAACCATTTTTAGAATGAGGACTGCCAATGATGCTCTTGCTTGCTGTGTGCACTTGCACACCATGTGATATCTGTTGACAAAAATGTCAATTAGATGGTAATATGTATGAGAAATAAAGAAAACTGTGTTATAATAATCAACCGCTTACAGTGATCACGCCAAAGTGATTTCCACAATGCTGGGTTGTTAGCTGGACATGCTGATGTTGATTGTAAACTGCATTAGAACAAACACACACTGTTTACAGAAGTGAAAATGCAAAGCACAAACTTGTAGGCCTGTGTGGTTGCAAATTTCTTCCTGGCATCTAATATTTGACACATCATTCGGTGCTTTCTACTTGACTGTTTGAGGGTTTGAGAGAGCCATCCGGAGGAGGCATATGGACTGGCAGAGGCGTTCCTGTGTGCCACAATGTTGAGATCTCCTGTTGACACAAAGCACATGCAGAGTGGGAAGAGAAGCTGATAGGGTGCACAGCAGAAGGAAAGGAACTACTTCCGATTCCATCCCAAGCCAGCTGCTGCCCTAAACAACCGTTCTTTCCATCAAGGGATATGATTTGTTAAGTGCACTGGATACACTGTCACCTTATGAGGCCCTCCAAGTGATTTTAAGTACTGTTTTCATTCAGTCATTCCCTGCTGGCACACAAACCTAGGTATATTCTTTGGATGTTAGTGCACTCAGTGGAGCTTCACTTTGAATGTCTCATAAGATTTAGGAAATCTAACCTTGTGTGGCTGAAGCCTGACACCTTAGCGCCTATCACAAGTGATGCCTTCCCCACTGGGTAATGGAAATTATTGCTGTAGATCCCTGCAGTGCATTACAGTGCACTATCAAACATATACTGAGTGAATGCTTGGAAGAACTAAAGATTGTGATCACACAACCAGCAGGAGTGTGAATCTGAGCAGACCAGCAAGCCAGGAAACAGGAATAGGAACATTTTGTTAATAGTGAGAGGATGTCCCTCCTTTTCACATCTACAAGCCAATCATTGCAAGTTCACATGTTGATTCAGGGTGCTGAGGCCTACAGAGAGAAGATGTATAAATGTTTCACTTAATAGTGTATTGGAAATCAGTATTGGTATAACTGGATTGTAGACCCAAACATGTTAGATGTAACTGGTTTAGCAATGTACATGGTGTTTATGTGTTATTGTAGGATAAGGTGCACAGTGACATGCTTACAATGACATGCTAACACGCTGATGTTTAGCAGGATTATTGTTTACCACTTTCAGCATCTTGGTTTAGCATGTTTGCATGCTTTGCTACTCAGCACTAAACACATAGCAGAGGCTGATGGAAATGTAATTCGTTTTTCAGGTATTTAGTCATCAAGCAAAGTATTGAACAAATTAAAATTTGGTGATGGTACTAGGGAAAAAGTCAGGGGCTCACCAAAGCCAGTAGAATTCAACCTTAGGGGACTATAAATGTTTGTGTGAAATTTCAAGGCAATCCATCCAATAGTGGAGATATTTTGGTCTGGACCAAAGTCCATCAATATATATTTGCTATAGTTTGCCTTTTGCCATTTTTTAGTACCCTGAATTACCATGGTGTATGTGCTATACAAATTAAGTTGCCTTGCTGTGCTATTTAGCATATACTATGTTCATGTCATATGAGAAGGGAGTCCTGGCAGTCATATTTTTTCAACCTGGAAATGATCATTTTTAGTAGTCCTTTTCTGCTACTTTTTTACTACTACTATAACTTGAGACATATTAGTCTTGTT